GAGTGTGCCTGTGTGTTTAAAGGCTCGGAGCCATCCAGTCATGAGTCCAGCTCTGCTGAGGCTGCAGCTCTCCTCCGGATCAGCTCAGCAGAACCCAGAGGACGAACACCAGGTGAGACCAGAACCTTTTTAAATATACAGACCTGAAGAAATCAGAATGATGAAAACATCAGATGAGATCTGCATGAAGGCTGCGGGGCTGCTTCACCTGCAGAGGAGTGTGTGTGTGTGTGTGTGTGTGTTTGCTGCAGTGCAGTCAGTCCGCATAGGCGGTGTCTCCTCTGCATCTGGGCTGCAGATGGAGCTGCAGGCCCGCTCTCTGTGACATAACAACACTGCAGGTTCTGCTCAGTCCATGCTCTGAAAAGGCTCATATTGGACTCATGTGGGGGAGGGGGGTCCATGGGCCCTCCTGGTGTCATGATGTCCTCTGTTCAACTGTGGCAGGCGTGAAGCTGTGATCCACCTCAACATGGAGCATCACCTGCAGCTGCTGCTGGCCGCCTGCCTCCTCTGTGGCAGGATAATGATGACACTTCAAACCCACAGTACGTCTTCATTTTATTACATATTCACTTGTTTTTATGGCGTTTTGAAGCACTTGAGTTTTAGGCTGCACACACATTCAGGTGGAATTTGCTGAAAGTCTTTCATTTAAATCATTCAGTAAAACAGAACAAAACAAACTGCTGAATACGTTTGGTGCCGAAAACTATATTAAACGTCAATGTTGGATTAGTTATGGTCAACTGTTTACATACAGTGACTCCTGAAATTAACTTTTTATAATGTATTGATTTATTTGAAGGATTCTGATTTCAAGGTGGATTAAAACTACATCAAATATTTATATATGCATTTATATACTTTTACCTAATCCTTTAATAAGTGGTCATAAAGGCTGATAAGGTTTATTTATTTTTAGTGATCATGGTTGACTACAGCAGCTAGTTTGTTTGTTTGACATCACTTAACATCAGGGGTGAATCATGAGAGCTACACTTTCAGTGAGGATGCACTAAACGCAACACTAAACAGAAGAACCAACAGGGATGACCCGTCTGAACACAGAACCTGAAAAAGTCCACCCATTTCAGTCCGAAGCTTACCCAGAATGCCTTGTAGCTCACCGAGTCTCTTGCATTCAAATATGTAATTAGAAAAATTCACCTGAAATCTAAAATTAACCCACAAAACTTACTGTTTCTGTAAAATTTCATCATGAAATGAAACCATAATATAACTGTAATGTTAGAATTATCAATATGAACATGAATGGGAAATTTAACCTTCAATTTTAGAGCAACTACAATTTCAGTGTGGATTGTAGAATTTACAGGCTGCAACTGAATGCATCACAAGTCTTCACATGGTGGATAAACCTGCAGGACCTTCCTGAAGGCTCAGAGCCCTGTGTTTTGCCCCCCCCCCCCCCCCCCTCTGCATCAACATTCTGATTAGTTATTTATCTTGTCAGTTATTAAACAAACTCATTCTGTAGATGCTGACTGAGTTCAGCCTTCTCTCCTGGAAGTGAAGTCCTGACCAATGAGAGAGCTCCTTCAAACATGTTTCTGCCTGGAGACACAAATTTAAAAGAGTCTGATTGGATGATTTTAAATAAAAATGTTTCTTGCTCAACTGCAAAAGTAGCTTACAGAAAATAAAAGAAATTAAAAAAAAATCTACATTGCAAATAAATATAAAAAGTGTAATATGATTTCAAAAAGGTTGAATTCTTAGGCCTTCTCTGCCAAGACCAAGACCAAGAAACAAGCCTTTAACAAGTTCAAAAAATTAACAGCTGTCCACACGGATAAATCTAATGTCTCTTACGATCAGACAAGACTAAAATTAAGTTGTCAAGTTTGCTTGAAGGAGCTAAGGTGAGGCTTTCAAATCTGAGGAACACGGTACCAGCTGTCAAGCATGGTAGTGGTAGCATCATGCTGGGGTCCTGGTGCCTTGCACAAAGTGGACAGAAAAATGAAGAAAGAGGATGAAATTTCATCTCAAATCAACAACTAGATGTTTGAAACCTGGACACATTTAGGTGGTCCAACAGGACAGTGGTTCCAACACATCAGAGCTGATTTCTAATTGGATAAACAGGCAGATATTGAGCTTCTGGATTGGATGTTCCAAACTCCGAACCTTAGTTCAATTAAAAAAAAATCTGGATTTGTGGCAAGAAACCAACCAGTTTATATGAACTCTACCAAGAAGCTGGTCAAATATCAGCTGAATCATGTCAGAAACCTTTTGATGGGTACAGCAACTGTGCTCCAGGTTCAACCCGCTGAGACCCAAATATTAGTGGGGGTGTATGGTTGTATTTGAGCATGTATGTCCATGATTATTCCTAAACTTTATACATTTGTTCAGCATTTGTTTCTGTCCTTCCTAAGGAAGCGTTTAGGTCTAAATGGCATTTAATGAATGAAAATGACCCCCATTTAATAAATAATCTACAATAGGGGAGTCAAATTCAGTTACATAAGGGGGACAAAATAAAAAAATTGGTCATTAACTCAAGTCAAATACCCAATATCTTTTCTTTGTTGCAGATTCATCAACAGGAGTTTAGTTGGTCCTGTTTCATGTTCTTTGCTCCACCACATCAAAATCAAAAATTACAGGAAAATCCAACTTTTTTTCTGGCATCAAAGCAGGCCGTCATGGGAAGTCTGCACTAAACGAAAGCATGTTCAGTTTTTTAACCAAATCAATATTAAAAAAACAAAAAAACATTTAAAATATAATCTTGGGGTGCCAGATAAGATGTTACCAAGGACCAGATTTTGCCTGTGGGCCTTGATTGACAAATGTGGTTCATAATTATCTGATGTTTATAAGAGTTTGCTTCAATCACAGAGTTTCAGAAGATGATACTAGCTTTAATTCCAACCTGTGGTCTTCAGAAATGGACATTTGACATCATGTTGACTCTGTTTATCATGGTGGACTTTGTGTCCACATGAACACAAACATGTCTCACACAAACTGTCATTTAAAGGGATCTGTGACATATTGGCTCCAATATGTTATTTCTCTATTCTACTAAATGTTGTTGTTTGTGACACGTGAAAACTCCTAGTTATTTTTTAAAAGTACATGTTTATTACATTTTTCACCTAAAGACATTGCCATTATTTTACCAGTGCAATGCATTCTGGGGAAATGTTGTAGTGGAGACTAAAGACAAGGAGTCAAAGGTAAAAAAGTTATAACATTTGACAATAAAGTTATATTTTGGACCAGTCCTTGTGCATCAACGCCATATTGTTTATCTTCAAAGCAAATGTCATATTAGCTCCGCATCGAATTATCTCTGAAGTTAATGCTATATAGATTAGTCCTGGCTTTGTAGCTAATACTATTAGCTCTGGGGCTAATCATATATTTCAGCTCTGGAGCTAACATCTTATAGTCCTGGAGCTAAGGTATTACTGGTATTTATTAGCTGTAGGGCTAACGTGAAAGCTGAGTACTTCTCTGTCAATGTACTCCGGTTCAAATTAAAGGCCTGAACATCAGATTATGTCCAAAATTAACTTTCAAACTGAATGGAACTTGCACCGAAACAACCTATGTCATTTACCCACAATGCAATGCAGCGTAAATAAAATGGCAATGTCCGTGTGTCATTAATTTTGACAAAATTATAAAAACTAAGTATTTACAGTCTCGTTTTTATAGCTGAAGTAATTCTTTAAATCTTTAAATATTCTTCAAATTATGTCTATTGTTCCAACTAGTCAGAGATCCCTTTAAAATCAAAACATGTCGGAGCTAATACATTTAAACAAATACAAAAATGGCTGTCATTTTTACATTTACCATACCACTTTACTTGTAAAGCACTTAAAAACAGCAACAAGGCCAACTGAAAGGCTGTACAGCAGAAACAAACAAGCAAAGCGCACACCAAAAAAAATAAAAGATTAAATAAATAAATTAAATAAAATGAAAAATACATAGATCTGAATGGAAGAAGATAATAACTAAATGGCTAACATTATAGAATACAGTAAGGCTAAGAACAAACCACACAGTGTCAAAAGCCGCAGGGAATAAAAGTGGGTTTTTAAGTGAGACTTAAAAACAGTGAGTGTGGGGGCCTGCCTCACATGTAGTGGTAACTCATTCCACAGTCTTGGACCTGCAACAGAGAAGGCCCTGTCACCTCTGAGTTTAAAACGGGTTCCTGGAACCAATAGAAGCATCTGGTCTACTGACCTCAGAGAGTGCTGTGGGGCATATGGCTGCAGCAGATCAGCGAGACAGAAGGGGACAGAAATGTTCAGAGATGTAAAAACATACAAAAGGATTTAGAACTGAATTCAAAAGTGAACCAGGAACCAGTGCAGGGAGGCCAAAACTGGTGTAATGTGCTCTCTTTTGCTTGTACCGGTTAAAAATCAGGCTGCAGCATTTTGGACCAGTTGTAAACGTGTAATGGAGGACTGACTGATTCCAAACTGAAGCGCGCTGCAGTAATCGAGCCTGGATGTTGTAAGTGCGTGTAAGACAGTCTGAAGGTTATTTTTGGACAGTACGGGCTTCAGTTTAGACAGTCGCCTCAGCTGAAAAAAACAGAATTTAACAATTTAGCTAGGACTTGGTGTGGTAGTAGCTGAGAGTCATCCCTGATATATACTTGGAGTCACATCTTTTTTTTTTACTTTAGCATAGAGATGCATTCCTCTTAAACATGTTAGTTTCAAGTTTTTATTTTGTTTGTTTGTTTCCTGTTTGCGTGTCTCTCAGTGAACCCCTTAACCAAGGCTCTGTACCCTCCTCGCGGGCCCCAGATGTTCACCTGCCTAACTTACCTGGAGCGGAATGTCCGGGTGGACTGCGAGTTCCCACCCACCTACCAGGCTCCAGGACCCTACTGCGAGTATCGCCAGGACAGCCGCCTGGTGGGTAGCACCTACCCCAACGCTGTCATCTACGTGTCCATTGACGACCGCAGGAGGAGCAACGTCAGCCTGGTCGACCACAACCTGTGCCGCCTCACCTGGGCCCCCATGGCCGACGAGAAGCCATACACCTACACCTGCAGGGTGTACCAGGGCACCAGCTGGAAGGAGAACAGCATGGCTGTCCACCACAGTGAGTCTCTGTTCCCTCCTTGCTTCTTCCAAACCAGGGGTCTGCAACCTTTTCGATCAAAAGAGCCTTTCTGTCCCTTTGCTCACTAAGTAAAATGTGTGCAGAGCCACAAAACCTAAATTTAAACATGTTTCGTATATATTTGCAGAACATTGGCAGGAAACCCGCTAAAACTAGCCTGTTTTGTTGTGAGTATAAAATAATTAAATCAATAAATTCAGTTTCATGTTAGTTTATCTTCAAAGGGCCACATGTGGCCCCAGAGCCACGGCTTGCAGACCCCTGTTCTAAACATTTGCAGTCCAAAAACTCACTCTCTCCTTCTCTCTTCTTGCAGGGATTCTTCCAATCTGCTCTGCAATCAGTGTTATGTTCAAATCTGCACCATGGCTTTTGTCTCTGGTGATGTCACTTCCTGTGGCTGTGGGTCTCCTGAGTCCTTAAACTCCCAGCTTCACAGAGTAAAAACCAGTTGGACCTTTTAGGATTTTCTACTCACTGTGGATTGCCGAACGTTGGACGATTCAATGTTTAAAAAGATAATTCATATGTAATTACATCTCCTAAGATTAAAAATGCCAGGAAAAAACTACTTATTTAAATAATTTTACCTATTCAACAGAGCTAATCGCCACCAAAACAGCGTCGTTTCCTAGAGTTTTAGTTGAACAAACAAAAAGACACTAAAAAAAAATGCAACAGTAGCGGGAAATAAAACCCAGTCAGTTTTAAACAGCTGTAATCCTAATGCCTTGTCAATCCCCACATGCTGTTTGAATGCAAATATTTAATTAACCAGATAAAAGTTCATTTTGTGGATCTATTTTATAATTTAAAGAAAATCAGATATAATTACATTCTGAAGATGAGCTCACCACAAATGAGTCATTAAAGTAATTAAATATTACAATTCTCCCTGAGCGTCCTTATGGTGTTAAATGTTAGGATAAAAACAGTGGGTCACAAAGTTAATAAAAAGGATAAAACCTGCAGGTTATCGTTCTAGAATCTCATTTGGTTCAACTATAAATGCAATATGCCGCTGAGAAGTGGGTTCAGGCGTCTGTTTTGGTGTTTAAATAGTGAAACTGCTCAAACACTGCCTTTTCTGTTGGCGTTAGGCCGCCTTAATACCTTGAGTACCTTAAAGTGGTAGTTTGGATCTTTTGAAGTGGTGTCGGTGGAAAGGTTATGAACTATTCATATCTTACCTGTTGTAGATAGCTCTTTGAACGACCTCAGGTTGGAGAAAAGTTAAAATTATTCCTGGTTATACAATACAATTCTTCCTAATCAGAAAATATTTATTTATTAATATTTAATTTACGCTGATGTAAAGGTTCATAAAACAGAATTTTCATAAACATTTTTTAATTTTTTTTAAACTGTAGTTGTTTATAACATAGCACAAATCCATTGCGATCATAGCTTCACTCAGAGTAGCTATTAGATCATCAGTCTGCTCAGAAGTAAACGCAGTTCCTCCAAAGTGCAGTCGTTTAAAGAGCTATCTACAACAGGTAAGATATTTATTGTTTAAAGCCTTTCAACAGAACCTACTGCAGAAGAGCTGAGCTGGCCCTTTAAATACCATGTCAAAGTTACTGTACTGTGCATCCTGATATGTGTTCAGTGTGGTTCTAAAGAATCAGCTCAAACTTTTATTTTTAGCTAGCGATGAGAAAAATAACCCTAAAACTATGAATTTCACGTTGACAACTACACACTCCAACAATCTGGGTTTGTTCAGATGAGACGCTACTTACAAATGTTAATATGCACAATTTGTGTATAATGGACAATTATGATCACACTTTTATTTAAATGCTATTTTTTTCTATTTATTTATTTATATTGATTAAACCTTTAGGGTTTTATTTGACACATTTAAGCCACTAACAGCTGCTGTAACTGTACACGTCTTCATATGCTCATAATTTTCAGATCTGTTCAGAATTAACTGCACATGTATCAAAATTTTTAACGTTTTTTTGCCAGTATTAATCCAGCCATTAAAGGTGCAATAAAACGTATAAACGAACAAATAGGAAAAAAGGTTATGCACTATAAAATGTTTGTGTTCTGTCTGCACAATTAAAGCACTATTTTCAAAAAGGTATGTCTACAATATGTTGCCATGTCATTTCGGTCACACTCACATTTTACTTACGATGGCCTTAGCATAAAAATGTTAATAAATAAATAAATAATAATGACAAAAATATGTTGAACTTAACAGATGTGACATCAGTCAGAGCCCAGAGTACGAAAAAAATGGCATAAGTTTGTGCAGGCTTTAAGCTAATGTCTAGCCAAACGAGGGCTCATTTAAAAAATAATAAAAAAGTGGCTTATAAAACATTTGTTTCTCAAAAACAAAAACAAAACAATCAACAAAAAAAAACATGTTTGTGAGAAATAGTTGTTTAAAGCCTTGAACAATAATAGAATAAATAAATGCCCGTTTCGACTTCAAGCCCTCGTGGGAAACAACAGTGTGACCTGGAGGGTTGTGATTGGGAGGAATGGCCTCTCTGATCTGAACCTGAGTGGTGTTCTGTTGTTGGACTTTGTGCTAGTCATAGTTTGTCCAACACAAACACCATGTTGGAACATAAGGGTGTCCATAAGTGCACTTGGCACCAGGACACCCTAGGTTGTAGATCGATTATTGACTTTGTAGTCGTGTCATCTGATTTGCGATATTTGTTTTGGACACTTGGGTGAAGAGAGGAGCTGAGCTGTCAACTGATCCCCACCTGGTAGTGAGTTGGATCAGATGGCGAGGGAAGATGCCGGACAGACCCGGTAGACCCACACGTGTAGTGAGGGTTTGCTGGGAATGCCTGGCAGAAGAACCCATCAGAGAGATCTTCAACTCACACCTCCAGGAGAACTTTAACTGCATCTCAGCTGAGGCGGGGGACGTTGAGTCCGAGTGGGCCATGTTCTGTGACTCGGTTGTTTAAGTGGCTGCTTGAGTTGTGGCTGCAAGGATGTCTACGCTTCTCATGGTGGCCATCCTTGAACTCGATGGATGATACTCCGGGTTAGGGAGGCTGTAAAACTGAAGGAGGAGTCCAATCGGGCCTTGTTGGTTGGTGGGACTAGAGGCAGCTGAGGAGTACCAGAGAGCCAACCGGTCCGTAGTTCTGGCTGTTGCTGAGGCAAAAGCTCAGATGTGGGAGGAGGTCCTTGGAGTCCTCCCAGAAGAGCTGGAAGAAGTGGCTGTGGAAAGAGATGTCTGGGTCTTCCTGCTCAAGCGCTGCTGCCCCTGCGACCCGACTTCGGAAAAAGCGGAAGATGGATGGATGGATGGATGGATGGATGGATGGATGGATGGATGGATGGATGGATGGATGGATCGATGGATGGATGGATGGAT